ATGTATGTATGTATGTGTCTATAGCGATACGCCATTCCGGTCGGCCGTGTCGATACGTGAGAAACAAAGATAAATAGGATCGACAGAAATAAAAAAAAATGAATGAAAGGGAGAAACTAAAAAAAAAAAAAAAAAAAAGGAAACGAAAGAAACTAAACGTGAGAAGAGAAGTGAAAAAAGAAAAATAAAAAAAAGGAAAAGGTGCCCCTGTGGTCCCCTGTTGGTACCCTGCAGCACTGCACGTTCCCCGAGAGTATAGGCGACAACATGTGCGTTATTAGATCGTGTAATATCCCACGTTCACGGCGGACGGTCCTTTTTTTTCTATATTCTATTCTGCAATCACTGGTATCCGGTATGTGTCGCACGAGGACCGGGACAGAGGACAGAAAGGAAAAGGTGGAATTCCATATTCTGTCACGCGAGTTTTGCACCCGCCGCGAGTCACCACGGGTGTGTGCAGTCACTTCGTTTCGCGTCTGAAAAACACACTTATAGTACTTATAGTATTTCTCGCGATTAATTTATCGACGATTAACTTTAACGATGATTAGCCGAGGCAGGCAGAAAGAGTGAATAGTAGTAAGGTTGACGATTGAAAGAGAGAGAGAGAGAGAGAGAGAGAGAGAGATGGCACGACGAAGAGAATTCTTTTTTTCTTTCTTTTTGTTTGCTTGTAATAAAAGAGATATCGAGAAGTGATCGAAGTGTATTGTCGGAAGGAAAGGAAGTGTAGGAATGAAAGATGTATAGGCAAAAAAGGATGAACAGAGAGGAAGTGTGAGAGGGATATACGCGGCGTCAATTTTAGTACAATATCATTGTGTAAAATTACGGACGGGGGAAATTAGCGTTATTTATTGTAAACGATGTAAACGAACGAATAATCAAATTCTAATACGACGTTGTGTGTTTTGTTTTCCGGACACACGCTACGCTGTTACGTTGTTTCTCCGTATTTCATTTCCTTTCGAGTTGCACGAGTTCGCGAAAGCACGATGAACCTGACGGCAGTCGATCGAGAGACTCTAGAGACCGTTCTTTACCGTGGTGTTAATAGAGGATGTTATAGAAGAAAAGAAAAGAAAAGGAAAAAAAAAAAAAAGAAGAAAAAGAAAAAAAGGAAGAAAACGAGCAGCTCGAAAAGCATACTATAAAACTGCAGAGCTAGTAAGATCTCGTGGTTCGGGGGAAACCGTATCGTACCGAAACTGGAAAAAAATCGGAAGCTCGTTGTGATAATATTTATGTGCCAAATAGCGTTTTCACGGGACGGAAGTAGAGGGCAACATGGCAACCCTTCCGGTTCCCAGGTCGGCAAGAGTTGGCTCGACGTGAAGAACTCGACAACTTCTGTGTCTCCTTTTTCACCGTTCTTTCTTTTCTTTTTTTTTTTTTTTTTTTTTTTTTTTCTCTCTTTGTTATTTATAATCAGTGCAATTCTATACAAGGTACCTAATATAATTTTATAAAGAGAGCCAGTATCCTCGATATATCCGCGCCCACGTTTCGTCGGGTGCTCATTTTGAATACCGCGGCCGGCGGTAGATAGGATAGCTTAATGTTGATAATAATTTATTTTATGTATATACATGGATTTGTACAACTGCGTCGGCGATGCACTCGTCAGAGAGAGGGAGAGAAAGGGAGAGCGTGAGAAAGCGAGAAAGAAAAAGAAAGAAAGAAAGAGAATGAGAGAGTGTGAGAGAGAAAGAGAGAGAGAGATCGACCGACGCAAAAAAAAGTGTCAATACTATTGAATGTACAGTGTAACTATATTGTGATGTATCTTGCATAGCGCTACATATATGTAATTTACTCGAGAACACGTAGACTTAACGAAATGTTAAAAATGCGATGCATATTCTTACTTTCATTTGGTCATTATTATGTCTATTATTATCCTTATTATTGTCACATCAGTTTTATTTAGTACTATTATTATTATTATTATTATTATTATTATTAATTATTATTATGATTATTATTATTGATTATTATTATTATGATTATTATCAATATTATTATATTATTTCTCTCTCTTTTTTTTTGATAATCATCCTTGTTACGCATAGCAATAGAGGTTGTACGTGCCAGTTCAGATGACAACGGCAACAGGCGACACGAAGATCATCGATCATATGCGTGCTCAAATATCTAAAAAGTTTTCACTTTTCTCATCATTCACGCAAGAATTAGATGTTTTTTCCTTACATTAATATTGAAACGTTTTTTTTTTTTTTTTTCTTTTCACATCCTGGAGAAACGTGCACTACTACCTTTCCTTCGAGCAATTCCTCCTTTCTTGTTTTACGCTTTCTTTTTCGCCAGTTTAACACCCAAAGATCAATAATTGAATTTTATTCATCTTGCGAATAATCAATTAACAGAGAAACGTTTGTTTGACACGGAAAATATAAACGCATCACTTTGCATGTTATTTCCTACTGTGCCATATCTTTATAATCTTTCAAAATAATTCGTTTTCCTCATTTTTGTCTCTTCCGCTATTTCTCCTAGTATCTTTCATTTAAGAAGACACTTTCGAATTGCGTACGTACAATTAAGATTGGCTCGTACCTCCCTCGGGAAATTTTCATCTTGGTCATCTCCATTATCTTGCATGATAAACTTTCTTCTTCTCGAATAATCTTCATAAATAATCTCGGTTTTGTGCATCTCTGCAAATCGCGTTTTTGATTTTTGTAAAAAGGACTCGTAGACAAAGCTGGATGCCAAGTACACGATTTGTTTTCTTTATTTT